CCCCCCCGCCGCGTGGCCGTGGGCCTGCAGTCCATCCCAACGGACATCATTAAAGCAAAGTCGGTTTTTTTTTTATTCAAGTGCACCATTTAGGTTGTCACGTGCCAGCTGACCATGCATCTTCAGCAGACTCACAATCTACACCCAGTTTTATATTAGGAGAGTTAATTCAGGGGAAAAAACATGCACAGAAACAAATTGAAGAATTTTGTGTTCATCATCTCACCAGTTCAACACCTTCTCCAACAATGTCAGAATTTAGTGATAAAGCCAGTTTATTTATCCCCAATCAAAGAATTACATAACCTTGTCTAACAGCTCTTGATGAAAGTACGTATTTATCTGGCAGGCTAGATCTGAATCCATCTGCTCCTGGTTTACTGACTAAAAATGTACTTATTCCTAAATGCAGTTGTCTGGGCTTGCCACAAGCCACCATTTGTGAGGAACCCCCCATGATGCACGTGGGGACACTTGAACCCCTGTAACATGGAGCTCGTTGTCGTGCGAAAGGCATCATTCCCTGGCACAATCCCCAAAGCTGTGAAGCTGTGTCTGACTGCTGCATTTTCACTCCTGGACAAACCAGCCTCGTATGGTTGTCTCACTGTTAATTGTTTCCTGAGTGTGGCCTCTCGCTGTATTCCTTTGGTGCTAATTTGTGTGCGGGGAAGCTTTTGACCTGTGCTAAGGTTGAGGGACAGGGCAAAGAGCCATTTTGACTTCAGGTGCATTTCTTCCAGACTCACAAAGGTGTGGCCCAGGCTCTTTCATTTTGATTGGCAATTTCTGTCACCAGAATGACACTTAAGGCAGAGGTCTTTGCTCATGTTCATATTACCTCACCTGAAAATCCAGGCATTCAGTCCATCCATGGTCCTGCTGTAGTTAAAGGAGAGAGATAAATGGTTCCAAAGGGTAAATCATCCCATCTTAAATTAGATGTCCAAAGTAGGCTGGAAAAATCATCCTTGGGAGGAACACTTCTCCTTCCATTAATTCTAACAGGAACCTAGACAGCCCCCTTAGGCGAGGCACATAGATGGCTGAAATTAGGTAAAATGAATTTTGCCCTGACTGACTTAGTGAAAATATTTTTATAGCAATTCTGACTTCCTTGCCAAAAATCAAAAGAGAAAACTCAGTGTCCTATGGATGAAATGCCATATAGAAAAAAAAAAAAAAGCCAATTAACTCAAATAGTATGAGCACATCCTACAGGGTGGACTGCAGTCACATTTCTCCCAGCAGCCTTGCTGTGTGTCTTTTAACTAGTACCTCCTTGCCTCTTTCTTTTCTCATTAGATCTCAGAAATCTGGAAGATGCTGTGAAGACATTGGACAGATGCCATGGCAACAGCCTCCAAAGGAGGTATCTTGGTTTGGCTGCCTGCAAGGATAGGCTGCTAGAGGAATTATTCTTGTCCTTTGTGGGATAAAAACAGTCTTGTTCATTTACATGTTGCTGTTAAGAAAGAAAGATTTTTCATATCGTCTTTGGGTACTTTTGATAGACGTTTTGGTATCCTCATGCAGGGTCTTTGGATACTTTTTGAATACATTGGATACTGTTATGGTACAGAAGCCACACCGCTGTGTCTGACCTAGGACTGTCCCAGAAGCTCTTAGCCCCCATGCAGATCACGAATGAAGACAGAGTTCACAGCCCATAGTGAACTCCAGCCTGCTGAAAACCCACAGATGCATGTCCTGGCAGCTGCTGAACGGCACCAGTCTAAATTCAGCACTGGCTAATTCACCCTTCTTCTTTGATGCACAGCAAGTAATCCAAAATTTAGAAGGTGACATGTCTGGACTTCAGAGCTGTCTTTTTGTTGTAGGAAACAGCAGTCTGTCACTGCAGCCAGTGCCCCATCACAGCTTTCACGCCGCGCTTTTGGTTGAGCCAGGTCCAGTGATGGGAGAAACTCTTTGTTGTGCCAGCAAACACTGATCCTATTAAGCATCTAGATCAGGATTTACTTTGGAGGTAAGTGCCCTTCTGTATCCCCTAGCACCATGTTCTGCAGCCTGTCTGATCTGGTTGGGATTGAAAAACTGAAGCAAAATTCAGCGCTGGATATGCCCATCCGTTTTTTCTTCCATCTCTCTGGGGTACAAGCCCTTCTTCCTCAAGCTGGTCCCACCTAAGGCACATAGACCTTCCTGACTTCCTTGCTCTGCCCTGGCACTTTGCTGGGGAAGAGGAGAATCACCTGCTTCCAGTCCCTCCCACAACTAAAGCAGAACAGCCTTACAGATAAGTCCAGCTCAGGGGCAGGGAGAACAAAACCAGGGCTGGCTAGGCAGTAGAGAGGAAGGTGGGTATGACCACCAAATAACCTCAGTGACATTTGTTTTGCACAGGTTTGGTGTCATGCTACTACCTCATGCCGTCACCAGGGTGCAAGTACAGCCATACAGTCCTCGATGTAACCGTGGTGGGATTTGCTCGAAAAAAATAAGAGTAGTTGTACTACTTCTACAAAACATGAACACTGCTAGAACGGCTTGCGTGTGGCAAATGCAAGACTGATAGCCAAGCAATTTCTGTCTAGTGTCACCATATGGCATCACTTATTTGTGCGCATGTGTAGCGCCCTTTGCACACACAGGGATGACTTCAAGGGATAGGAATAGTGAAGATTCAAGCTTCATATATACTAGAAGCTAGTTGGTGCTTGATACCAGTTATCTTCACAGGTGCAGACAAGCTGAAGTCTTTGTTTCTAAATGTGATCTTAGATCAAAGGAATGCTTTTCAGTATCCTCCTGGATGTTGATTACTGTGACCTAGGTAACAATGTCTCAGGAAGGCTGCAGGAGAACTGAGAACTTTAAGGGCAGCATTTTCATAAGAGTCTGTTTGGGTGCCTTTGACTCTGGATGTGATATGATTTGCAGGGGTAGACACCTCGGTTGGAATTAGTGTGGAAGAAACTACACCGAATATGTGTTACCAAGCAGCCACAAGAAACACAACTTTATTTGTAGAGTATCCAGATTCTTCAGTTTGAAGAGAAAAATTTCATGTGTGAATTTGAACCAAAAACATTGGTCACCACAAGATGGCAGTATAGTTCAACTAAAACTTTTCTCCTCAACAACTTGGTAAAAACTCTCTCAACAATAACAGTAAATTAGGTTAATAAATTGAAAACAATATTATCTGTACAGTTCTTAAATCTCTATGACAATAACAGAAAGTATGAGCAAACAGCAATGCTTATGAAACAGACGTTTGCATCCTGCTAAGAAACTAATGATTATAATACAAAAGGCTTTCTATTTGTTTAAAATGAAAACAAGTGGAAGAAAATTAAACAGCTGTCACTAAGTTACAAAATGGCTTGTTAAAATATAGTGGAAATGATCAAAAATTATAAAACCTCTTTGTAAAGCAAAGCTTATACAATGTGTATAAAATATATCTAATACTGTTGCTTCCTCCAGACAGACTGGAATGGGAAGGGAAGAGCCCCTTTATCACAACTGCATACCCTTTCCATACATTGAGATCTTCTTTTCCATAAAAACCAGCACAAAACATGACCTCACATGTAGCACACTGAAATCAATGCCAGAGTTTAATAATAAAAATTAATTCTTCAAACTCACTCTAAAGGAAGTCTCTTGGTGTTTTTCTCCATACTGAATTCATTTTCATAGTCAGCCATCCTTTCTATTTATGATGGCATGAATAGGTTCATACTGATGATCACATGGTATCTTTTCTACAATGTTCATGAGCAGTGCTCATATAGGTGAGCTACATCAGAAGAGCTGTATTTTTTTATTGCTGCTCCTTAGCCTCGGACAGAGAGACCAGAGACTAGTCTTCAGAACACTGGCAAATGCTTGGAGGGTGGCGCTAACACTTGGTAAATCATGGTTGAAGCATGACTACCATCACAAACACAGCAGGAGCAAGAGCTCCCCACTCATTTCCTCAACTGCCTTTAATCTTTACCTTCGGGTAGCTGGGAGGCATCCTGTGTCCTTCCCTACCCGAAAGCCCACTAAAACCTTTCTCTGTTGTTCCATCTATCTAGAGGAACAGGGCAGCATACCTCTGTACAGCAGAGGTAGCCACAAACCTTGGGCACACCTGTTACACAGTGCAACAGCATAATTCAGAATTTTTACATTTCCTTAGGTTTTTTTTAATGCTTATACTTAGATCCATCACAAGGTTGTAGTGCATTGTTGCACCAAAGCAGTAACTCTCAGAGGAGAGTTCACTGCTAGCCTCAAGCTTGCAGAGGTGGTTGTGTGGCAATATAGGCTGAGCACCAGAAGGGGTACACAGGAGAATGCCACAAGTTCCTTTACAAGGTGACGGTGACGGCCATTTTCTTCTCTTCTCAGTTGCATAACAGCTAAATTTTCTTGTCTTTCTGATATTATTTTGATAAAAACCAACCTATACTGATCTTGTGATTGATACTGTTGTCTTTAAACTTTGCTGTGTTATTCATGCACAAATGCATACACACACAAGCCTAGAACAGAGTTTTCACTGGAGACACACAAAAAGCATTTGGGCCACCACAGTCTGGAATTGCAGTTTGCATCGCATTCTGGGTGGAAAGGCCCAGCTTCTAACCATGTTCCCATTACATTGCAGCAGAAAATATTTTAGTTCGTCATTAGGAAACTTTTTGTACCAGTCCACTGCAAAGCACTGGACTTCATGTTGCTTCAGATGGTTATGGACTTTTTGAGAAGAGGGCGGACAAATGTTTGTCTGAAATGGCTTTGGTGTAGCAGATTTTGCAGTGGTGAGGCAAATAGTCTGGATGATCTCCAGAGGTTCCTCCCAGCCATATTTCTCTGATGCTGTGACTCTAAGAGGCCTCTAAGTATAAAGACATAACTGTATCTCTAATCTCCCTGGCTGTCATGTTCTCAGACCAATTTGACCAATTTTTATGCTTGCAAAAAAAAAGTCAGATCTTTGTGAATTCTGTGTTCAAATGTTATCTGCTTTTCCCATTGCAGTGGTTGGCCAAATAAATGGTATGGCCTCTACCTTACAAACTCGGCTTGTGCTCAAAGGCCTGCATTTTAAACACCTGTCCTTCTCCATGGTAACGTAGGTCTCTGACTTGCATTTTCAGTATTACTCTAAAACACATTAAACCAAAAAGATTTATTATTGAAAAAAAGAAAAGCGAATGTCACCCAGTCATATGTGTATATATGTGTGTATATAGAATCACAGAATCAGGAATGGTTTGGGTTGGAAGGGTCCTTAAAAATCGTCTAGTTCCAGCCTCCCTGCCATAGGCAGGTACACCTCACCTTCTTTCAGTTTAAAACCATTACCCTTCATTCTATTGCTACACTTCCTGATAAAGAGTCCCTCCCCATCTTTCCTGTAGTCCCTCTTGGACAGGTTCATGTCCTTCTTATGTTGGGGGCCCCAGAGCTGGACCCACTACTCCAGGCGGGGTCTCACCAGAGTGGAGTAGACAGGAAGAATCACCTCCCTTGACCTGCTGGCCAACTTCTTTTGATGCAGCCCAGGATGCAGTTCACTTTCTGGGCTGCAGGCGTGCATTGCGGACTCATGTTGACCTTCTCATCAACCAACACCCCCAAGTCCTTCTCCTCAGGGCTGCTTTCAATCCATTCTCAGCCCAGCCTGTCTTTGTGCTTGGGATTGCCCCGGCCCATGTGCAGGACCTTGAACTTGGCCTTGTTGAACTTCATGAGGTTTGCGTGGGCCTACCTCTCAGTTCTGTCTAGGTTGCTCTGGATGGCATCCCTTCCCTCCAGAGTGTCAACCGCACCACACAGCTTGGTGTGATCAGCAAACTTGCTGAGGGTGCACTCAATCCCACTGTCCATGTTGCCAACAAAGATGTTAAACAACACCGGTCCCAGTAATGACCCCTGAGGAATACTACTTGTCACTGGTTTCCACTTGGACATCAAGCCATTGACTGCAGCTCTTCATGTGCAACCATCCAGCCAATTCATTATCCACCAAGTGGTCCATTCATCAAATCTGTGTTTCTTCAAATTAGAGACAAGATGTTGTGCAGGACAGCGCCAAATGCTTTGCAGAAGTCCAGGCAGGTGATGCCAGTGATCTCTCTGTGCAGGCACATACATATGGATGTTACACACTTAGCAGTACTAGCAATGTTTTATTTCCTTTTTTTTACTAAAATAATTAACAAAAAATTGCCTGATTCATAAATAGACATAGCGTAGATCTAGGCCAGACGTTATGGCTGAAATTTGCTAATTTGGAAGCTGAGTGTCTAAACATAACTAACAACGTCAATTCTTTTATTCCTCCAAATGTTCTGGTATGAATGATACATGGGCATACTCTTTAGAAAAGAAACATAATTTCAACCGGTTGGAAAAAAACACCTTTTCTGCAGAAATATTGAAGTAAAAGTTTTTGCCAGAAGCTCAGGAAAGGAAGCCATCTTAAATTTAAAGTTAGATTCTAGCAGTTGGCTATCTTACTCTCTCAATTTTCTCACTTTTTATGTGGACTTACACACTTGCCTAGGTATATCTCTGCCATCGCATTCCCTCCATATGTTATTCAGCTATGCTTCAAGTGCATATGTGAATGATTTTATCTTTAGTAAAAGTATGTGAATGATTTTACTTCTCACCAACCATTCCTTAGAACATGACTTGATGTTTTTCTCCTCCCAGGAGACTTCTGGGTAGCTGGAGAAATGCACATGCTTGCCTCACGGAGCCTTCTGTCTCCACAGGTAAGCAGGTAATTCAGTTTTACAAGACTCATCCAGGTTTGGCACCTGTTAGTGTTAAAAGCACTGGTATTAGCATGTACGTGCATTGTCAAATTTTTCATGTATGTTGCAATTGGAAGTGTTCAAGTGTGTGAATAAATGCAAAGATGTGCATTAAGTAAATATAAGGTGTCTGATTTTCTTTCAGTAATAGGTCTTTACTTCTCACAAATATTTGCTATTTATTCCTTTCAAGTTTTACTTTAGATATAGCATTCATGGGAAAAAATCTATATGCCTGCAGTAAAGTACAAGGTCAGAGAAGAAGATGTTGGAGAAAATTGGGGAACTCATGTTTAATCTGAAAACAGTAAATATATTATTTTTTATTTATTTACTTTATCTCATATCGCATTTCAGGCATCCTAAAGAATTTACATTTATCTTGCTCTGGACCTACGACAAATGACTGTTTTTCCTGGTCACTCTGTCGCTTCTCTAGAAATAAAAATATAAGCTCACTTTAAAGTAGGAAAACCCATCACTTGTATGGCACTCTTTGTATGGAACTGTGGGGTTTGCCTTTAATATTCAAATGTGAGACACAGACTGTAAGAAAAAAAGGCTTTGCAGTGAAATGAAGAGGACAAATGCAAGTTCTATATTTATTGAATATAAAGCCTGTTTCCCCAGGTAAAATAAGTTTGCCTTCCTTCATCAAAATCACTGTTGCATTTTATTATTTTCACCAGCTGAGAACGTTCCCCAAGTACAAATGCTTTGCTAACAAAGGTCAGCTCGACTCTGCAGTTACAAATGTTATCTTCTGTTTATTCTGGAATATGTTTTTCCTGCATCAGGCATTTTCAGTTTTCCATTTGCTGGAACTGAAGCATACTGTCTCCATCAGGGAATTCCCCTAACATCCATGCACAATTTACCTCCTATACTATTTCACTTTAATAAAAACAGAGGACAAAATGTTATAGGGCCTTACTGGTATGCGCAAAGAGGACACAGAAAAGAAATTATTTTTTTTTTTGAACTTTTTCTTACCTGATCACAACATGGAGCTCATGATCCTGTGGCCACAAGACCTAAACTGGACTAGCACATGCGGCACAGCCAGTCTTCTGGAGGGGAAGGCTGTGCACCAGTTGATGGGACACAAGGACATGCTGCTACTGTTCTGCCTGCTGAGGCAGCAGACATACAGAAAGGTTTTCCAAAATGTCCAGTTGAGTAGCTCCCATTGTTATGATTGGAGCTACAACTTAGCACCTTTCTGTCTCTGAAAGACTGCCTTTGGATGAAGCGGGGCAGACTCAGCTGTGCCGGCACTTACGCTCATAGTGGAGAACATGCCAGTACTTACAATTTTAAATTTCGTTTATCATGTTAATTAGTAGTTGTTAACAAATTGTTTTAAATTAGAAATGTTCTTCAGTTATGTTGGAACATATGTCAGGGAGAGATGTAGTCTAAAAAATGGCTGCTTGGGAAGGGAAAGATGCCTGGAGGAATACTGCACTGAAAAAAGGTCACAAAACTGTGACAAGTCCTACCCTACTTGTTCTGTCTCACTGTGTTTTAACAGCAAAATAAACTGTGGCAAACCTTGAAGCAACAACATTGGTAACTGACTTTTTCTGCTGAGTGTTTCAACTATTTTACAAGTTTGTTATTGACTTCAGTCAAAACCAAACATCAACTTTTCTCAGTGGCAGTATTTCCTTGTCCTGGCTTTATTACTGCCTCAGAAGACACAACATGTAGTCGCCGGTCAATGGGCAGAGGTGCATACTTCTGTTGCCAGGAGACCACCCAAAGGAGGAAACAGGAGGCTTCCTCGTCTGTTGCTATCACAAGCTTTACATTTTACAATCTCTCCTTGGAATGATCAGTATTTATCTTTTTTTTTTTTTTTTTTTTTCTCATTTATAAAAATTTCAAAGCCATTTGATAGCTCTAAGAGGTCTGGACATTGTTGTTTGCTGAATACATTTTCCGAGCTATTAGTTATTCTACAGAACCTCTGCCGATATCAGAAACACCATACTTTTACTCACACTCGCGATGGTATCTCATCCAAATAAGTACAGTATGGGATGTGTTTACAGGCTGATTAAGAACAAGTGCCATATCCAGAAATGCAGGTTCTTTCAAAGATATTTAGTGATATTTTCTCCACTACCAGATAAAAACATTTCCACTAGACAACTCCAAATTGGCTTTTTCCATACTAATCAAAATTGGTACATACCAG